TTGGCGGTTGTTCTCATCCTATAGAACTGTAATGGCGAACCTATGGCACGAATGCTAGAACTGGTACATAGAGCCCTCTTTGGGCGCCAGCTGCTCTTCTGGTTTCCGGTGCACAGAGTAAGCCAGCTGATCTTTGTGTATGCCGGAGGCCTGGAAACCTGAAGACCAGCTGGCCAGTGCAGATGCACTCCAGCTGCCTGGCACTCCGGCACACGCGAAGACCAGCTGGGCGGTGCATGCATGCACACCAGTCAGATGGCTTTCAGGTTTCTGGGGCTCTGGTGCACGCACACACGTTCCAGTTTGGGCACTCGGTGTCAAAAAGGTTTGGCATCACTGCTATAGAATATCTTGCCCTGGGAGGTAAAGCTGGCTCCCACTATTTCAGCTTTCTGGAAGAACGTGAAAACCCAGCTTTGCCAAATGGCATGGGGATCGAAGAGTGGCACAACACCCTGGGGCTGCTCTCACCATTTTTAAAATTGTCTTTTAAATTTTGCTCTCATTTTATTTTTCACACCTTTTTAAATTCTTTTTTAAACTGTATTTCCTTTACATGGTTTTATTTATAAACTGCTTGTTTGCATAGTAGGTGGGTGTTATCTAAATTTGATGCAAGGGTTCCCTACCAAGTGGGATGAATGCTAGGGACCTATTGTCCTACCTACTGGGAAAGTGGCCTGGAGGTGTGTGGAAGTAGATTCTCATAGAGCTGGTTCATTTCTCCAGACATTCCACACCCTAAATCCCATAGACGATAGTAGGAGCAACCCTGATTTGTTCTACAGTGCTTTTCTGAATATTCCCATTGCCCATAAGTTTTATTCAGCATAGCTCTTTTTTCTAGGTGATATGTTTCATCCTTGCTTGATAACGAAAACAAAATACTGTATGCAGAATATCCATTGAAGTAACACTGTATTCATCCCATGAGGATTCAGCAATATCCAGCTGATCCAGAGAGGGCTGGAAATTCTGTCTGTTTCTGGCACACTCTTGCCAGTCCCAGCGTTGCTGGACTCTTTTTGTGGCCACCACTAAGAGAAGGGGCACGGTAGCTAGGGTTTGAGGGAGCAGCCTCCGCGAGGCCGTTCTGCATAGATGGCAGGAGCATGTGGGGAATGTTGAGCATGTCCCCCCCTTTCCACCCCAGTAACTGGCAGAGACCAGCTGTGCAGGTGTTTAAATATTTTAGGGGAGGGCTTATTTTAGCACATGCACTCAAAAGCCGGATTGGCCTTATTATCCAGGGAGGTCTTATTTTAGGAGAAACAGGGTAACAGCCTTTGCAGATGATTTGGTTGCCTTTGTCAGGACAGCCTTCTCCACAGAATGAGTGAGCCAAAAACTCAGGACTGCTCCTAAGGTCTTTCTTTTCATATACTTCGTTAGATTCATCCTAAGCCCAGTAAAAAGCCTTCATGGGTCTATTTCCAAAAGAAAATAATATCTATCGAGTTTCACATCCATCAAGGAGTTTCACTTTATTGGAAGAATTGCACTGGGCACCTCCTGAGGGGTATATGTTTTAGAATTGAGCCTGGTAAACACCTAACCATTAAAGGCGGTTGATTTGAAGTATCCAGCTGACATTTTCCCATTTGCCTTAGTTTCAGGAAATCAGATTGTCTAAGCAATTTCCTCTTTATTTTAGCACTATAGCCTAAATTGTAGCCACCGAAGCATGGAAAAACGTAGCCACCACCAGAATGGATCATATAGTCAGTGAAATCAAAGGGAATGTACCATTTCACTTTCTTCAGCATGCTTCTGTTTCTCTTCTTTCTTCCTGTTGTAAAAAGAAGGAAAAGTCAGATAACAAAACTTGGGCACAAAAGCCGAGTGTTAATTTCAAAGCTGACATTGCCACTTACAGTTTAGCCTTTGCTTTTGCTTCCAGTTTATTCCTTTTCTTCTCATCATTCTTTTTGGCAAAGTAATCTTCCCTGCACAGAATATAATCCAGTTTTAAGTATATGCATTTGGGATTACGACTGAAAAGTACCAAAGTACTGTGAAATCTTCAGGCCATGATTTGAAAACATTAATCAGTATTAATAACTAAACTTAGCTTAGTTGGCAACTAGTGCCAATTGCTAGTGACAGTCTGATCTTAACCTGCAAATACAATAAGAAAATACTCAATAAATCCCAAAGGTGCTTTTTCAAGAGGCAACTGGACTTTCTGGTTTGAAAACTTTAGCTTCTTGGATGAGAAGAGAAACATCTTCGAAGACAAACCAGAAAATCCATGACTGGATGACTGAGAATCTCCATAGACATTTACTCACTAAATCCTTGTTCAATAAATGATTCTGACCCAGAGTAATTTGTTCATTCAAGACCCCCACGTGCCATGAATCTGCTATAAAGATTAAAAAGTTTTAAAAAAAGTAATTATAAAAGGAAATTGGAGAGATTTTATGACCTCAGTTAATTCAAAGCCTCTCAGTTTAGATCTTCTTCTTTTACCCAATTCTAGTTATAGATGAGAAGGTCCAAAAGGGACCTTAAGGAGGCTTCCCTGAAGGCTCCGGAGGACGAAAAATGGCCCAACGGACAAACCGGAAGTCACTTCCGGTTTGCTCATAGGGCCGTTTTTAGTCCTCCGGAGCTTTCAGGGAAGCCTCCTGAAAGTCCCTGAAGGTCTAGAGGACTAAAAACGACCCTACAAGCAAACCAGTCGTTCTTCGTCCTCTGGAGCCTTCAGGGAAGCCTCCTGAAGGTCCCTGCAGGCTCCGGAGGACTAAAAACAGCCCTATGAGCAAACCGGAAGTGACTGCGCTTATGGCACATGAGCCATAAAGGTTCACCATTGCTGCTCTAGTGTAATATAACAACACACATTTTATGTATACTTGGTGGAAAGAAAGGAGATTCAGAGACAAAATATGTTCTTTAAGCTTTGCAGAAATGTATGGCACCCACTATACACACTAAATCCCCTTCTCCAAAATCAAGATCCTCCTCTTTGTATCTTCAGGTCAAAACTATTTCTTTCTTCAAAACTTTGTCTAAATGCAAATTCTTGGGCCCCACAAGTCTATTGGTTTTTCTCTTCCATCTGTTTTTTTATTTGTTTAAAGGGGGTGGGGCTACAATGTTCTCTTTACAACACTCTTCCAGAAGGCGCTGAAGACATGGTTTTGCTAGCGAGCCTGGGGAACCCAGAGGGATGGAGCCCATTAAATGTCTTGTAATAAATAGGTGTTGTCACAGGGATGGGGAGCTATTAGTTTATTAATTTAATATTTTTATTATTTTATTTTATTATTTTTATAAATGTCTTAATATTTGTGTAAGCCACCTTGAGTCGCCATGGGTGAGTAGGCAGCAATATAAATTTTCTAAAATAAATAACCAGAAAGGGCTGTAACACCATAGAATCAATGTCCCTGTGTCTTCTTCTGAGGCCAGGAAAAAAACGAATTGTGGGAAGAAAAATATGTAAATCCCATGCAATAAGAAAAATAGCAAGATTTTAAAAACAAGGCTTAAAGACAAAAAGTAGGCCATCCATCTGAAGACTTGCACGAAGCTCATATCAAAATCCAAATGCAGAACTGAAATGATACTTACTTGAAGAGCACAATCAGCTCTGTTTCCTTATATCTTTGGTTTGGTGTCCCAACGAACTCCTTGGCAGATTCAACAGTGTCAAATACTGCAAAGATGGATCCCTGGAGGAAGGAAAAGTAGAACTGAATCTCATCTTGGGATCCGATACCACCTTAGGAAATTTAGAGTTAACAGAATTCTGTTCGAAGGTTATTACCTTAAATGTTTTCTGAAGTGTTCTCCTCATCTGAATGTTTTCTACTTTGCCTTTACTATCCAGCCATTCTTTGATATCATCTAAAGTTGCATCTAATGGAAAACCTTTCTGAAAAATAAAAAGTTTAAATAATTCTCTTATTTAAGTTCAGTGTTTTACAGATCTGTGCAGTGCAGAAAAAAAAGTTCCATTATTATATGTAAGCAATAAGTGCTTTTAATGTGGTTTGGTCCTCCATAATCAATTACTGAGTTTGTGTGTAAATAATTAACACAGAGCAGAAACCACACAACTTACAGCAAAGGATTCAGATTTAAATAAAACTCATAGCTTAGAAAAATAAGATTTTTCAACAACAATAGTAAATACTTTATACTGAAGACCAAGAGAGGTCTGCTTCATAGGGAAAATGGAGGGGCTGCAAGTTAGACCAAAAACATATTGTTCGTATCTTACTAGAACAGGTGTCTCCAACTCCCGGTCTGTGGACTGCCACCAGGCCGTGGCATGCAAGAAACCGCTCCGCGCAAACAAGCAAAGCCTTATCCGCGGGATGCAGGCAGAACGCGGAACCACACCCTCACTAGTCCACGGAAAAACCTTTCTCCATGGAACTTGTCCCTGATGCCCAAAGAGTTGGGGGCCGCTGTACTAGAAGGTGCACCTTTCTTAAAGATGGGGAAATAGGCTGAGAAACTTTAAGTCAGGCAAACGGTGGTGAAAGGGTACTATGGTACCTATGTTAAGAAGTGAAAATGGTTATTTGTAGTAACGTGCTTCTTGAATTATGAATTATAGATGAATGAATGCAGAATGAATACAAAAATAGTTGGAGATACTTTGTTCACCTGAAGAAAATGAAAGAAGATCAAAATCCAACCAAACAAGCAGATGAAATAGGAGAGGGTCATGAGGAAGGGGAAGACTAAGAAAGAATGATTAGAATTGATGGAATCCTCAGAAAAAGCAAGATGAGGTTTAAAGAACAAAAGACAATATATAAAGCAGTGTATGGGAAAGCAAAGGTACGTTACAACAACAGAAAGGTATAGAAAGAGATACAGTGAATAGGGTCAGTAAAAAAAATAAATTTAGCAATGTTTCCTTTTCTTATGTTAAGCCGTAAGTCCTCACTCCTTCTCTACTTCACATACTTACCCTGCAAGGAACAGCATGATAGGTATGTATCTAAATATGCATACATCAAACTAAACTATTTGAATCCTTTTTCTAATATATAATAGAGAAGCCCAGAAAAATAAGAAATTCTTTTCAGAGTGATTTTTAGATTATTATGACTGTGGTAATGATAAACAGAATTCTTGAGAATCTGAGATCAAAACACAGTACATTCTTTGCTGAAACATAGGACTGCTTTGTGATATATAGTAACTTATCAGGAGTCAAGCAAGTTACTGAAAAAGCAAAGGAGTATATTCTCAATTTATAGAGGGCTTCACCACACATCAACTAAATAGAATTTGGAATCCTTTGCATGTTCTTGGGGCCATTAAACAGAAAACCCTGATGGAAAAGGCAGAGTCAATCATATCAAACCTGAAATTCACAATGATACCTTATACAACCATTCCACTTACAATATATATAGATCTGCTTTTAATTGCATTCTTATATTGTTCAGTAACTTCAGGCAACGGTTTGTCTGGAGATCTTCGGATTTTAGTCTTATCTTCACTAACTTCCATAAGTTCGGTCTTCGATTTCTTTAATGCCCCAACTATTACATCAAAGTCTTTTGTAAGGCGATTTAGCCTACAAAATGGAAGATAAAGAAGTTATTAATTATTTTTGTTGCCTCAGTCAAATGTCTTCCGACAGTCACACATCTTCTTACATTTAAATGAAATGTGTGCAATCTCTACAATTAATCCTCTCAACGAGGGTAGGTGGCAAAGGCAAAGTAGAAAACATTCAGATGAGGGGAATAGTAGTACCACCCTCCCTCACACAACTTTTTCAGCAGTATATTCCAGCAACCTTACAAAAATCTCTTCGCTTCCCAGATGGCAAGGTCCTGAAAGAAGAATATTCGCTTTTAAGCATTTCTCACTCCCTTTGATGATTTTTAAATGTAAACATTTCTCAGGGGTTTTTCAAATCACATCTCCCTGTGTCTTTCACAATAGCAGTAAACAGCCTCTGCCAAATTCTGGGAGGAGAGCCAAATTCCCACAGGAGGATAGTATAAGCTCCAGAGCTTGTAACATCAGCCAGCAACCCCCTCTACACTAGAATGTTCCACCAGCTTCAAGGTCAGGTTTCGATAAGCATGGGAGGCATTAATGCCCTTGATTTAATTAAAGGGAAGACACAGGCATCAGCTGACCCTACAGAAGATAAGGAAGAACTAGCCCTCCCTACACAAGACCAGGAAACCATCACATGCAAACCTGAGGCAGTTAAGTCAATGCTTCGGTCAGAGACTGCTGAAACTGAATCTCTTAGTACTTTACCACCCTCTAGCTGTCCTGTTCGAAAAACTGACAAGTTCATTTTCCGAGGGCCTAACACTTCCACAAAACAAAACAAAATTCATCCAAACAGATGAAAGGAATACCAAGCTGATTGATGGGACACACCACCTCTTTATAACACTCCAGATGTTCACCCACAGGTGGTATTTCCTCACAAATGGATTTTAAAAGAGCAAACCAGTGAAAATTATTACCACACTTGTCTCAGCAGGGACGTGATTCTATCCATCTAATGAATACCCCATAGCTTGTTATTCTTCCTTACAAATGAACCCCTTTTCAAAGCAGCCCTGAACATCTTCAACCTACTGGTTCTTATCCCCAGTCTGGACTTACTTGTTCTGCCCATGAAATGTCCCTCGTGGGAATTGACCCAGACTCAGGATAGTGGCCAACTTAACTGGCATTAGGAGGTCTGCTCTCCATCTTCTTCCTAAGTCCACAATCTACTCATCCCAAGTGTTGTTTTGTCTGAGCACTTATCCAGAAACAGCACTCTAAGAGAACCAGCAAACCATTGACAACTACAGATAGTCCTCAACTAACAAACAGTTCATTTAGTGACGGTTCAAAGTTACATTACTGAAAAAAGTAACTTAAGACCATTCTTCACACTTGGGACCATTGCAGTATCCCCTTGGTCATGTGACCAAAATTCAGACACATGGCAACTGATTCATATTTAAGACCTTTGCAGTGTCCTGGGATCATGCGGTCCCCTTTTACAACCTTCTGACAAGCAAAGTCAATGGGGAAGCCAGATTCACTTAACAACTGTGCTAATAACTTAAAAACTGCAGTGAATCACTTAACAACTGTAGCAAGAAAGGTTGTAAAATGAGGGAAAACTCACTTCACAAATGTCACACTTAGCAACACACATTTTGGGCACAGTTGTGGTCATAAGTTGAAAAAAGTTGACAACTACCTGTATATCCTATTAATGATCTGTCATTTCTTGGAACATAGCTGAATGGTCTCCAAAACAAGCAAACCCACTTTTTAGGCTACCTGTCCAAATCTGATATTATCTTTTGTGTGGGAGACTTGGATGTTGGGGGGATTCTCAATCCCTAATTATTTTTCTCTGCTAGAGGTGGCAAACCTGGTGGGGAGGGGGTGCTCAGTCTGTTTATAGCTTCTAATTTATGTGTCCATGTTGCAAACCAATCACGAACGTAAATTAAACTAGAATATTTGATAGACAAGAAAGATCCAGTTTAAAGAAATTCATGGATTGACATTTTGTGGCCTCTTTTCTATTACCATCAACTTTCCCCAGAGTTAAACCATTCACTTTTTAACTAGCAGCCTTCTGCACAAGTTTCCTTAAATAGGCTTTAATATCAAAATCACAGAAGTAAAAACCTATACTTTTATGTGAAGCAATAGAAGCACATACAACTTTTGAGATTTAAAAAGACAAACTTCTGTATTTATGATTGTAGAAATATGAGAAATATATCAAATTTAGATTATTTTCCCATGCCATGTAAAAACCCACTCAGAATTTCCTTAAGTTCTGAAAGATTACACTGTGTTGAAATAGAATAGAACAGAATCCTTAATAAATGTCCTCATTACATGCAGGGGGAAAAGCTATGCATGTGTATGCCAAAAAAAAAAAAAAAGGCAGAACAAAAACCTGCTTTAACAAGTATTCCCCTCTGTGGGTGTAATTGTTTTTAAGGAGAAAAGCCACAGAAGATATATGGCCAGATATTTCAAATTACGCTGCAGAACATCACACACAAATAAAAAACTGCCAATTTTCATTATTATGGCAACTAATAAACATGAATCAGTAAATAATCAAACGTACACAATAAAAAGTGCTATTTTTCACAGAGATTTAAAATCAAATCTAGTCTAGGACAAAGGTTTCCTATAAAATCGGTTCTTTTTTTGTTATGAAACTATGAGCCCACTATTAGTATTACCTATTGAATTTGATTATTGTTTCTAAAGTCACCCAGCCATCATCTGATTTGATCTTCTCTTGAAGAAACTTGTCCCGGGGTAAATTGTGGTCACCAAAGTAGTACTGTGGAAATAAATAATAATAATACAAGCATCAGAACCCAAAATATGATACTCTATTCATTGCTTCATTTATTCAGTTCCAGTTCCTCACTGCAAAAGCTTTTATTGCATCTTTTGCCTGTCCCAGTTGGTCCTCACTTACTAAGAACTCATTTAAAGTTACGACGGCACTGAAAAAGGAGACTTATGATCCTTCCGCAAAGGTGCAACTGCCACAAGATCATGAGTCAAGCAGTTGGCAACTGGCAAGCATTTATGATGGTCACCGTGTCATGTGACTGCCATTTATGCCTGTCACTGCTGGCTCCTAACAAGCAAAATCAATGGGGAAGCCAGCAGGAAGTTGCAAGTCACTGTCCTATGACACCACACTTAAGGACCCACAGTGATTCAAGTAAAGACTACCACCAAAACTGATGTCATATATAAGTGCGGTCATGTAATGTTTCACTTAACAATCATACCATTTAGTGACAGAGCTACTGGTGCCCATTGCGGTCAGTAAGTTTAGACTACCAGTTCTCTGGGCTAGCTTAAAAATGCATGTTCTTCTTAAAATGTAAACAACAGGATGAAGCAGTTATGCTAATGATTGTTTTATATTATAAAGCAGGAGTTCCCAACTCCTGGGCTGCAGCCACTTCAGAGTGGGCCACATACCTGGTGAACCAGCGTATACGCACGCCAGCCCACCACTTGCATGAGCCAGTTCCCCTCTCCCCACCAGGCCTCCAAACCATTAAGGTTGGGGATTACTGTTATAAAGCACTACTAGAAGACTTAAACATGGTAATAAGTATGAAAATAACAAATTGAGCTATATTATCAATTCCAATTTTTTTAAATGGAAAATTTGGATTTGAGATTGTATCCAAAAGAGTGTCACCTCTGATCAATTAGTGCGTACATTTACAATTTTACTCTAGGGTAGCCTTTGTAGTAGTTTAGCTGTAGTGTAGATCAATCTGCTCCAGTATAATGTACTTCAGATGTATTGGATTATATGCCCTATTATCCAAAGCCTTACATTTGCACATTATATTAATACGCATACCAGAAGTATTCATACCTCAATTTGTTGACAAACCTTCTTTTCCAAATCGGACATATTTTCACTATCTCCGTTTTCAGCCATTTTCGCTTCCTGCAATCAAAGCAATATTTAGAAACACTGCACATTCAAACCATTAAGACCCCTCTTTTTTTAGTATATCTTTAATCTTTTAGAAAGATATTTTTTACTCTCTCTGCATTGCTCAAACCAGGCACATTGAAGAGAATAATTGAAACTAAAAATGAGAATAGCCTTGGTATATAAAATTAGACACTGTCACACAAGAAGAATCAGTCTGCTGACCCAGGAAAGTATGAACCCACTGGTAAAAAATAAATGTGCTGCATGACAAATGTAATCATTTGTTAATCTGACTTCTAGAGTAGCATATAAAGATAAAGGTTCCCCTTGCACATATGTGCTAGTCATTCCCCACTCTAGATGGCAGTGCTCATCTCCGTTTCAAAGCGGAGGAGCCAGTGCTGTCCAAAGACATCTCCGTGGTCATGTGGCCGGTATGACTAAACGCCGAAGGAGCACGGAACACTGTTACCTTCCCACCAAAGGTGGTTCCTATTTTTCTACTTGCACTGTAACATGCTTTTGAACTGCTAGGTTGGCAGAAGCTGGGACAAGTAACAGGAACTCACTCCATTACGCGGTGCTACAAAGTGGCCTAAACGTCTATAATTATTGCAAATTAATGTATTAAAAGAAAGAGCCAGAAACTCAACAGGTTTTTAATTTTTTTTCTACTTTTTAGTATTTTAACTGTTATTAAATTTGCTTGTTTATATATTTTTTCACTAACATGTATATATAATGTCACTTAACAAATATCTCACTTAACAACAGAAAATTTGTTGGGTTCAATCATGGTTGTAAATTGAGGACTACCTGTACAACAAATACTTTCAAGGTGAATTTTAGTAGTTTTTTTCTACTCAACTACTAAAAAAAAAGCCAAGTAATTTTATGGTTGTAATATTGATATCTTAAACTGTAACAAATAATTGATATAGCGTTTAGACTAGAAAAGAGAAAAATATTCTAACCTATCTAAACAATAGAATATTAATTGTATTTAATGATAGTCTATAAACCTCACTGTATTGAACAATGCAATGTTATCAAGATGTATAACATAATAAAATGAAAATGGAGAAAGGGAGAAAATGGTATCTAACAGGTCTGGTGCTGGAGCAAAACTGATCTCAAACAATTTGTTATGACAGAGGAGGTCCTAATTCTTATCCAGATCTGACTACTGAATTAGCAGGGTTTTCCAAAAGATCGGAAAAGCAGGCAGGCAAATTTTAGAGGCAATGATCTGTAAGATGTCCTGGAATCAATTCTCAATAGAATTAGTCCTCAAAAGGTGATCACATGACTCAGTGACACTGCAACCGTCATAAATATGAGTCACTTGTATATCACCTAACCATGGGAATGCTTCAACAGTTGTGAGTGTAAAAAATGGTCATAAGTCACTTTTTCAGTGCTGTTATAACTTCAAACAGTCACTAAATGAACTGTTGCAAGTTGATAACAGTTAAGTAGTTTACAAGTGTAAAACAGAAGTGGTATTCAGACCGTTTGGACCGGTTTACCCGAACCGGCAGTGGAAATCGCGGGTGGACCTGCCCATCCGCCCCCATTCTATGCCATCCTACCTAGGCATATTTTCAAGCTGTGTGCATGCGTGCAAGCCCGCATGCACGGACAGCCGTGTTCATGCATCAATGGCTTTTGAGAAGCCTTGCGCGCTCACATTTGTGAACCGGTAGGGAAAGTAAGCAAATACCACCCCTGGTGTAAACTACCTGTAGTTTACACTATCTGGGGAGGAAAGCTGTAATTGGTGAATGTACATATTTATTTGTTCATTGTACATTCATCTTTTCTGCCAAGAGTTCAAGGAAGTTTACACAGCACTCCTTACTCCACGGTTCTCTACTCAAACCCATGGGATAAACTGGGTTGAGAGAAAGCAACTGGCCCCAAATCTTTCAATCAGTTTCCGTGGCTGAGGGTGGACTTGAACCACGGACATAATCAGAGCCATAACCATCATACCACAGTAGTTACAATATATGTTGCATGCAGAATACAATCTTAGATAAAATTGTGTATTAATATACTTGCTGAAGAATTCTGGATTAACCAAAGGTTCCAATATATCTACTTAAGCTCATTATCTACCATGAATTAGTCATCTTGCCTTAATATCTCATAATGACCATGTTTGTTTGTGTTTGTCATAGAATAAGATAGGTAAAGATAACCTAACCATACCTTCAAACTTAGCATTCAGATGCAATGTGAATGTGGAGTAAATAAAATCATTTAAAGTTGAATTTAACTCACTTAACTCACTGCTACATGGATATATCTATGTTTTCTGGCAGAAGTAAAATGTTTGCCATTGCCAACTTCTGGGATTTTTAAAAAAACTTCTGAAGCTATGGGATTTCTAGGTGACTTCCATCCAAATACTAACCAAGTTTGCAGCCTATTTAGCTTTTTGAAAGTCTGTGAAGTGTCACCATCCAACTGTAACTAGCTGCCAGCTATTGAACTGAACTTGCTTGTGAAAATATGCTAAAAGGGAAAATGTTTAGAACTAGTGGAAATAAAAAAAATGGAAGCAGCATAGTTTCCCTTACAAAACTGGATAAATAGAATGTCATATTTTTGTTAAGACTTATCCCATCTCTGATCAATATTAATCTAACTAGTACAAAAAGCATGGTTTTCACTTTCCTGGAGGACAGCAAAAAAGATAATGAATCATTATTTTTAGATTCATTAAAATTTTAATTTACCAAATGATATTCAATTTAAAATAAATTAACTCTTTAGTAGCTATATTTGAAGCAGTTTAGAATTCAACTAATATACTAAAAAGCTTGGGTCATAATTTCTTTATTTGCTTTCTCTAATCATGTTATGAATACAGTACCTCTTTTTTTTGTATTAGCAATCATGCCATTCCATTTCAAATCCTGCTTTGCAAGCTTTATAAATTTAAAACTAGAAGTTGCTAAAAAATGAATTTTATTCCCAATTAAGCAGCAAATTTGTTCCTTTTTTCCTTCTAAAAGACTCTTTTCCCCAGTCAAATATTTCAGCTAGAACCAAGGGTATATTGATTTTTCCAAGAGAAAAACAGCAGCTTATTATTCTCCCAAGTCCCTTGAGCAAAACTCAAGTGTCTGATCAAATGGTTTTGGCCAGAAAAAACAAATGAAGACTTGTTCCACCCAAGAGAACACTGTATGGACAGCCCTCAAAATGAATGAAATAGGCCCAGCAGAAGTAATTGTACAATGTACAAATCACACCCAGCAATTTATTTATCATTTTATGGACTATCACAATCCTAAAGGACTCTTGGTAGTTCACAAGTATCATCTGTTCAGTTTTCATGTCACCTGTATAAACCAGGCATCATGGCTTGTAAACTACGGTCTGAGTGTATTGTATAAACTCCCTTATTCAATAAACTATGACCCTCCATGAGATGAGAAGCCAACTCATCCCAGCATAACTTGTAATCATATATATTTATTATCCTCTTTGAACAATGAAGCTCAGACCACAAAGCTGGATTCAGACTTTCCTTATTTATAAAAGGTTTATCGTAACTTTCTAAGAATAAGCCCATCGTTGTTTATAAAACAGGTGTTAAATTATGTTGTTTAATATTCAAGAGTATAGGAAGACATAGAATAGAGAAACAGAATGCCAAACATATCCACATTAACAGAATGTCAGTTTGGCATCTGTTGAGTTATGTTTCTATAAATTTAAAATACTATGGTATTAATTCAAATCTTTACTTTGATCAGACCAGTATAGAATTTAGAACTACAACCATTTTAGTAATAATGAAACCTTTGAGATATTTTTAAAAAAATACTGAAAGGCTAGGATTACTCAATTTAATTTTATATCACTATACATGTTCCTTTGAACTATATATCAACATCAGAGCTTTGATTCTCACAGAGGAAGCAACCTGGATCTTGATTAAACCATTTAAGGCTTTGGGTCTTCCATAGGAATAGCATCCTTCTTTTCCATAGGGTGGAACAGTACCTATTTAATCCACCCCTATATTGTTTGTTAGATTTATAACTTGCCTTTCGATCAGGAACTCAATAACCCAATAACTTGCTACTCTCAACTTAAGTCTACTCAGAGGATCTCCTCACAATGAGTCCTGTCTGATGGCTGTTGCCCTACAAAGAATTTACATGCAGACTTTTTTCATATTTTTCCTATTGAATTAGTGGAATAACTAATATCTGCTGATACTATACTTTTCTTTTTATTGTTGTGTGGCCTTATCATTGTTTTAATCGAAAACATATTCAGAAATCCGCTATCCAACCTATGTTTTGAAGCAAATTACTAATTATTTCCAATGTAAGGTGGATCTTCAGAGGCAGCAGATGGAAGAGAAAATTCTACAGATGACACAAGACTTTTAATAAAGTTTCTGAAAACTCTTCCTTGTTACAATAATCCTGCATACCAAACAGAAAAAGTCTGGAAAAAGATTCCCCTAGCTTACTGTCCAATGTACAATTTACAGCTCCCAGAATTCCCCTACCAGTTAGCTCCAAACATTATTATTTCAAGGTTCCAATTTTGGTACCCACCAGTTACCCTAAGAAAAATTATTTAACAGAACAATTGTTAGAATCATTGTTAGAGAAAGTCTGTTACTAACTCCTATTCATTTTCTAATAAACCCTCTACGTCTTGCTACCATTTTACTCAAAATTGAAAAGGGGAGAGAAGTCAGCACTTAGAGAAGCTGCTACTCTACTATTCTCTTACAACTATGTGCATTTTAAGTAAGGGATTCATCTGTCCCTTTATGGGCTCCATGTGATACAGCACTACATTCTCACAGTCTCTTTCTCTCCTGTGGAGAATCTCCTGAATACAGACAGTTCCAAGAGTTTAAAAGGAAAAAAATGTTGCCCTTATTCCTCCTTTTTCCTACTCGGAGAGAAATACTCTCAAATAAAACACGGGGACGAATCCCGTTGCCTCCTGCAATCTGCAAGTGATAGAGCCCGAAATAAAACACGTTTAGACTTCTATCTGTTATCTTATGCATGCTTGACCAAATGAATAAAATTAACAATTAAAATTAACAATGTCGAGATTCTACCGCCTCCTCCGGCTCTCCGTATTAGCGCAGCTCGATCACCCAAGCCAGCCTGAAGATCAGGTGTCATTTGTGAACCCCAGGACCCCAAGTCCGCCAGCCCCCTAAGTTTCTTTTTTAATTATTTACGTATTTGAATTTATTAGCCGGCCAACTCCAATGGACTTCCCTGTCCAGTATCCCTCCCCCGCCCCTCACTCCTTCGCCCCCTGCGCCCACACTACAGGCCCCGACCAAGGCAAGGAGCGAACCGGCGAACCCATCCAGATACAGAACGTGGGAACGCGGTGGAGCCTTAAGGGGAAACTCCCCGTTTTGCAAAACTCCCCCCGTTCCGCGATACTTTCCGCCAAACCCGGTGGACGGCGCCCCTCACCACTACGCTACCACGACGGTATCCCTCACTCACGTGGACCTTATATGACTGTATGGTGGTCAATGATCGATTCCCACCGCGAGAGCCGCCGTCGACCGCCCTGTGGGGCAATCCTCCCAAGCCGCTTCCCCCTCCGCGATAGCCCCAAGAGCCACGGCCACCGACGCACGTGGAAACTCCGCAGCCTCGAAAAGAGATGTGGGGGGGGGGAGGGAGTATCGCGAAAACGGAGCCGGACGAAAACCTAACGGGCGGGAAACGGAGAAACCGACCTGGAAGAAGGAGCGACTGCTTACTCCGCCCGCTTCTTCGAGCGGCAGGCCTCCGCGGCGGTTAAGGCTCCTACCTTTAAACGCGGATCTTTCCTCGCCGGCCAGCCCAGCAGCCAGTGCGGCAGTAACCACACCTCCTTCCCGTCCGGACCCACGCGGGTGGAGTTTCATCTCCGCCTTGACTCCTTTCTGGAGGACGCGGCGGCCTGGTTGGAAGGGGGTGGGGGTGGGGGGAAGAACGTGCGAGCGAAGGCAGATTCGAATCTTCCGCTCCCCGGATTCGCTTCTCGAAGATTTTTCTGCCGGGATTCTTCCCGCCACTGGCGGGATTTTTTGAAAAGGCCGGCATTCCTTGGAGAAGGAACGGAGAGAGGGAAACTTCGCGTATCTTAATGTCTGTGGAGATTCTCAGCCATCCAAGGGCCACGGTTGTCCCAAAGGTGTTTTTTTTCAAGAGGCACTTCAAGAGGACTAGATGACCTTCAAGGTCCCTTCCAACTCTGTTAATCTGTTACTTGAAGCTTCATCGGTTCAGTTCTTCAATTCAGGATTGAAGAATATTCTTGGATGAGACTTTGTTTTTTTCCTTGAAGATGTTTCGCTTCTCATCTGAGAAGCTTCATCAGTTAAGTTCTTTCAATTCAGAACTGAAGTTCTTGGATGAGGCTTTGTTTTTTTTTCCCCTTGAAGATGTTTCGCTTCTCATCTGAGAAGCTTCATTGGTTCAGTTCTTTCAATTCAGAACTGAAGAAGTTTCTTGGATGAGGCTTTGTTTTATTTCCCCTTGAAGACATTTCCCTTCTCATCCAAGAAGCTTCATGGGTTCAGTTTTCGAATTCAGAACTGAAGAAGCTTCTTGGATGAGAAGCAAAACTTCTTCAACGAAAAAACAAAGAAAGTCCAGTTGCCCCTTGAAAAGGCACCTTTGGGATTCACAAGTCTTAGTTTTGCTTTTTCTTCTAATGGACAATTTGTCAATTCCATCATTGCGCTAAGAGTAAAGAGGCTGCAGAATAAGACACTGTACACCAGTATGCAATTTAGTTAGGTTTGGATTCCCTCCCTGTGCTGAGTGAATCCTTCACTGTGGAGTACAAACAACAGTGTAAGTACTCAGGTATTTGTCAACCTTATTTGTGGAACTGAAAAAGCTTTTTGGATGAAAAGTGAAAAGTTTCCAAGGGGGAAAAAAACAAAATGAAGTCCAGTTGCCTTTGGGGAAAACACCTTTGGAACAACCGTGACCTGGATGATTGAGAATCTCCATTGACATTCAGATATTTGTCATTTATTAAGTACTGTATCTCATAGTCAAGTAAATTGTGATTTAGCATGAGCTTAGCTACTGAAACTTTTAAATAGCTGCTTCATGCGCTTAAGTAAAAAAGCACGTTTTTACTTATTTCAGGTATCTGGGTTCACTTTAGGCACTACACTAGAAACAACTGAGCTAGAAACTAAACAGATGTTTCACCCAATACACTGCTGTAAAATAGAAGCTAGTTTATGAGATTATGTGCCCTGTAATGTGCAATGCAATATGGCTTAACGTTTTTATTAGAAGGGTAGGAGGGAAAAACTGCACTTTGCCTTCAATAAGCAGTTTCTATTTCTCTTGAAGTCTTGGCATAAGACTGCACATCTGGCTTGAATTAATCTTGAATTAATTTTGACTACTTCCATTATCATAAACTAGAATTAAACATTTTACAGATTGATAGAAAAGATAGACCACCCTCCTTTAGTGGTCTGACACTTTACCTGGTAGATCCTATTGGTTTTTAGGAATAATGTGTGGTTCTTTCTGAGATTCTGATACATAGTGAAAAATGGACCTTTGTTACTGTTTGGAATGAGCAGAGAATAGCTACTTTAGACAGGATCATGGTGCAGACATTCCCTTGTGAATTCTGGAGAATTCCCAAATTTCCAGAGGAGATCCAGAAAATGAAGTGGTTGAAAAGTGCTGTTGAGTGCTGCTGAAGAATGAAGATTGAATTCAATGGTACAGGATAAAATCCTTATTAAAGTTTGCCATCACTTTGCAAACTGCACTGGCTGCACTTCACGGTCCAGGTTATCATATGCAAGTAGTCCTCGCCTTATGACCACAATTGATTTACAAATTTCTGTTGCTAAGTAAGGCAGTTACATGGTTTTGTCCCACTTTATGATTTTTTTTTGCTACCTTTCTTAAGCAAATCACTGCATTTATTAAGTGAATCATTTTACAAACCCAGTAGATACCACTTTAAAATGAAAATATGATCTTCAGAAATAATTATAACAATGGAAAATATTTTTCTGTCAAAAAATTTATTTGAAAATGATATCATCCTTCAGTTTGGATGATCCCATGAAAAATACAGATTGTCCTCAACTTACAACAGTTCATTCAGTGACCGTTTGAAGTTACAAAGTCACTGGGAAGAGTAACTTATGTTTTCACACATACAATCTTTGCAGCAAGATCATGTGAACAAAATTTGGAAGCTTAGCAAACTGGTTCATATTTATGACCATTGCAATGTCCCGGAGTCATGGGATCTCATTTTGCAACCTTCTGACAAACTCATTCAATGGGGAAGCCAGATTCACATAACAACTGTGTTTCTAACTTAATAAGTGATTCATTTAACAAATGTAGGAAGAAAGATAAAATGAGACAAAATTTACTTAACGAATATCTCACTTATCAACATAAATTTTGGGTTCAATTATGATCATAAAACAAGGACTACCTGTATTAGAAAAGAATTCTTTTCCAGGCAGAACTGGAAATGTGACATAATTCTAAAACTAAAGTACTTTGATATACTGTCCATATTCATATTTTATTATATGATTAATAGCAACACATAAATCAAAGTTAGTTTTGGTTTATTACAATCAAAGATCAATACAAATTGTACTGTACTGTACAGAATACAAATTAAAACAAACATTCTTAATATAAATTAAACCCCTGGCATCTTGTGTAGAAAGTAAGACAGCAAAGTTTTGCAACTGTATAAAATTTCATCTTTCATATCAGCCAGTAGCAAAGGAGGCAGATAATATACAAGAATCAACATAACATGTGTTATATGTGCCTACCTGTAATAAAGGTAGAATATTAAGACACGGGTAACTGATCCCATCTCTTCTGACCCCATGGAGAAAGACATTCTGAAAAATGTTTTTCTTGTGCATTGGTCCTGTAAACTGCTGAGGGCATCACATCAAAACACACTAGTGTACATGCCCTCTGTTTGGCAGGAGCAACTCAATATAGACAGTTTGCCAAATTATCAGCTTCTCTATATTGCCAATGATTAATGACCTTTTTATAAGTCTATCAGTCTGGGCAGCAATGTCCCATAGCTCCTGTTGAACAGTTTTCTTTGCTTCCAAAAGTCCGACAATAGTAAAAGTTGATAAGTGTAGGCCTGCCCTATGTTAACCATCTTCTGCCCTGCGTCATATAAAACTTGGAGAATCAGAGGGATAAGGCCAGATAGTTGATATTTCAATCTGAGGTAGTACTGTATGTAATTTTCACTAACTAAACCTGAGTCTCCATTGTTAGTAATCCCAATCCTGATCCTATAGCAACACTGCAGGTACCCCTAGGCATCCCAAAACAGCTTGCAACAACTGAGTTTGAATTAATTCCAAAGGGTAATAATCTTTGCGGTTGTAGAGTTGTGCCCTGCATTAATAGCTGGGGAATTACTTTTCCATTAAATATTGGAATTACAGGTAGTCCTCAATTTACAACAGTTCACTTAGTGGTATCAAAGTTACCACAGCCCTAAAAAAAATGACTTCAGACCATTTTTCACAATTACAACCTTTGAAGCATCCCCATGCTCATGTGATCAAAATTCACATACTTGGCAATTGGTTCATACTTATGACCATTGCTGTGACCCAAGATCATGTGATCGCCTTTTGCAACCTTTTGACAAGCAAAGTCAACGGGGAAGCCAGATTAACAACTGGGTTACTAACTGATCAACTACAGTGATTCATTTAACAACTGAGACAAGAAAGTCATAAAATGGGGCAAAATTGACTTAACAAATGTCTTACTTAACAATAGAAATTTTGGGCTCAATTGTGATCATAAGTTGAGGACTCCCTATAATGTCAATAATTTAGGAGCACAAACTTTGCAGTGCCCCAGGTTTAAAGAGCTCGTAAATAGCCAATCAAGTTCAACTACCCTACTAGTTTTCTGTGGCACACATTCAATTTTCTTACCATTCTGTAATTATACACTATGGCATACCTCCAGGTACCCTACTTTTAGAACTAAAACAATAGAGGAATTATCATTATCCATCCTAAAGCATACCTCAAACTCTACAATGCAATGGCCAAATTTATTAAATATTAATATATAGTTTAAGTTATGGGAACCGTACCTTGTCAAGTGCAAGCAACCAAAAGCATTTGTGAGAAAGCCAAGGTATATAGTTTATTGTGGACCACCTATATTACAAGAATCACACCAGACTGTCTAACTTCCCTTGGGAAAAAAGTGATATAGATTAAGGGTTTGACCTCAGATATTTCCTCTCTGAACTACCCCTAGTGTGTGTTGTGGGGGGGGCAGGGGGTTCCTCCCTTTCAAACCACAATTCCACCACATCTTGGAACAATATGCTGTTCTCCTAGATCCATGATGGCAAACCTATGGCACACATGCCAGAGGTGGCACGCAAAGCCCTCTCTGTGGGCACATGTGCCATCACCAGCTGCTCTTCTAGTTTCCAGCATGCACATGCGTGCCAACCAGCTGGTCTTTGTGGGCACCAGGGCGGCGGAAAATGGCCTGAAAATGGCCCCAAAATAATCTGAAAAACAGCCTGAAAACAGTCCAAAAAAATGGCCCAAAACAGGCATGTGTGCAGCTGGTCTTCAGGTTTCCGGTGCTCTGGTGCACCCATACGTGCGCATGCATGCACGTTCCAGATTGGGCACTCGATGCTGAAAAGGTTCGCCATCACTGTCCTAGATGGTCACTTCATATAGAACCATTTAGGATTCCAATATCTAAGTTACAGAACATCATTCCCCCTCAAGGTATGGTTGCTCCCCTCCCCTGAAAACATGGTTGTGTCAGTGCCCTGGGGACCACCAATGCAGATCGAGTAGATCAAGTGCTTGATTTGATTGTGTTGTTGTAAGCTTCCCAGAGTCACCTATGTGTGAGTTGGACAGTTATATAAATTTGCTTAATAAATAAATAAATAAATAAATAAATAACTTGCCATTTGGACAAATAATAGGCCTTTCCAACTGAATTTGGTAGCCTTAAAATAACATATCAGGGGGAGAAATTCCTACATCTTCAGGAGGGGCTAAGTTGGCATAAAAGAGGGTAGAATAATTTGGCCCCATCCTACTATTGGAGTCTCATCCTAAATAACACAAGCATATGAAAACCTCAGTAAAATAACCATCTACAGTGTAATGTCTACATTGGCTGGGATTTAGCTTGATAACTAATTGGTGGTATTGGGGGTCAAGTAGATATTTACTACTTATCTCCCTTAAGTTTAAGAGGCAAGATAAGGCAAAATGTTCACAAGAAACTGTGCATATTGTATATCTTCACATCTATATCTAAAGCAACAAAAGAAGTGAGTTCCCCCACCCCACATGCAGGACTTTCCCCTGTTCCCCTGTTATTCTTTAGTGTTCCTTTAGCATTGGTATACAATCACAAATCAATTCATATCTCCATCACATAGCTTGTAATGTTGGAACTTCAAAGGATTTAATGTAACTCAAGAATGGGGCAATTACATATATGTTTCTTGGAGAAAACATTATTTAAAATGTTATCATTCCGAGTTGAAATTGAGCAGGGTTGAAGAGTTAAGTAGGGTAGACTAGCCATTCCTAAGTAAAGGTGTGATGTACTTTAAGAACCCACAGCCAGAGTAGAGATTATAAATGTTGTGATCCATCACCCCCAGAAAGAACCAGGTTAAGAAAGGTTGTGTTTCTACAAAAAGGTACTGAACTGCAGGGAGTGGGGGGGGGGGGGATGTTGGAAACAATAGCAGCTTTTCCTCAGAAACTATAATCCCTGGAACATCATGCCCCTCAAAACAAATTTTGCACCCATTGTTTTGGCCTTCCAAAAGAACCTGAAGACATGGCTCTGCCAACTGGCTTGAGGCCCCAATGGGGACATGTCAACCCAGAGTTGGTTAGTATGCATCTTGCTCCGCCTCTTTGTCAATTTTAAATCAAATTTAATGTTACTATTTATTGTTTTAATGTTTTACATTGGTGTTTGATTGATTTTAAGCCACCTAGAGTCACCTTTGATGACGTGGGCAGCAATAAACATTTAGCAGTTTTTGAATCTGATTCATAATAATTGTAATATATGGATCACTTGTAAAGCAGAGCGAATTAGTAATATTAATCAAATTGAACTGTGATATTAGTTATCTTCTAACCTGTAACTGCTGAGCTACTGAAAGACATTTTTGTTACCTGAAGGCAAATTCTTGTGCTACGTGGTGACTCATGTTGTAGTTACAGTCACAGAAGTGACATTTGCTTCATCATACAGGGTGTATATGCATACACAACCATGGGAACGCATAGCACTAGGAAGATTCCCCACAATTTCCCATTTATTACTTTCAGGATCATATTTCTCAATGTTCTGCAGGTAAGAACCTCTGGAAGAGGAATAGCCTCCTGTCACATAGATACATCCATTCATGGCGACTGCACTGCCTTCCATCCTTCTTTCTATCATATCAGCCTTTTGAGTCCACACATTTTGCTCAGGATCGTAACAATCTGTGATTGTCGTCTGACCGCCCACAAGATACAATTTGTTTTCCAATGCAATGGAACATAATCCATACTCTACAGCAAAACAGATGAATTATTAACATTGTCCATTACATTTTGAAGAATTAAAAAAAGAAAGGAGGCCTACCAATTGACAGTAGAATCTTCATCTAAACATTCTAATCTAGTTCTCTATTAATTTCAAGAATATTGGCTTTACATTATGATTGGTAGCCATATTTTACTTAATCGAGATAAGGAAGTGTATTTATTTACTTATAAAGATATATTCTTCAGAAAAGTGTTTCCTCAGCATTGTACAGGAAAGTCACAAATAACTGATGTTATTGCAAAGAAGTTCTGAGAAATTCTAACAATTTAGATATGTGTATATATTTATTGTTTCTATCCTGCCACACTCTAAGGACATGTAGTGATTTACAACATCCTTACACAGCTAAAAAAAATAATAATCATAGTTTATCAATATTATTAAAACATTAAAACAATCATCTCCAAAATCACAGAAAAGTTATGCGGCATCCTAGATGACCTAAATCTTAAATTAAAAATTCTTCTTAACAAGTCTTCTGAATATTTCTTGGTGCTACAGTTAGAAGCACTGATTTCTAGCAACTCTTGAATATGTGGGGGAAGAATTCTCAGTCCTATACAGAACTCATGAATTGAAAAAGTAGATTTCAGAGGGAGTAGAAGTTATGTAGGTTGCCAGGTCAAAGGCATATAAGGTTTTATTGGTCAAAACTAACAGTTTGAACAGTACTCAGAAGCCTTTCAGCATTACTGCATGGTTTGAAAAGTAAATTAACAGACTTGGAAGGGACCTTGCAGGTCATCTAGTCCAACCCCCTGCCCAAGCAGGAGACCCTACATATGTGTCTACCTAGGATTGAATTCACAATCTCCTGATTGTGAGGCAAGAGCTCCACCTCTAGACTGCATTCTGTATCTTTAGAAAGTTTTAGGTAATCCTCAGAGCAGTCCCATGGAGAACACATTGCAGAAATTTAGACAAGAGATGATGACAGCAGTATCTGTCATCAGGATCTTTTTCTCCAAGATTTGCAACTAGTATATCTGGGCAGATTCCCCTTGAAAAATACCAGAAGGGTGTCCCTTTCAGAATCATTTGCCTGTTAGCAAGGAGGAAGATTTCAGGAGTCAACCCCAACAGTTGAACTGTAGACTTTCTTAATGGTCAGGAGATTTAATTCTTGAGGCTTGAGTCGCCATGGGCTTTTAAAAGAGAACAAGGTATGAGAGTAAAAGCTAATAATGATCATGTCCCCAGAACTGTATGCTAGGGGAGGGGGGTTGTGTGTAAGCCACCAGAGACATCCTGGAGTCAGGTGTCTTTTAAAGCTAATAAGTAGTGAGTAAGTAAATAAATACATTGATTGACTAGAATGGGAAGCATTTTTCATTAGAATTCAAGGTGGGGGGTGGTGGCCATTTTTTCTATGTGATATTAAACGGCCATCTGTCCTGAATGTTTAATTGACTAGAAATTGCCCTGTTCTACTCTATGACTCATATGTAAATACTTTTAATAGGAGAACTGATCTACAGTATTTATTTAAGTTCTTTTGCAGAAGTAAAACTTACCTGGGTAAGAACTTGTGGTGATTATGCTCCATTCATTAATATCTGAATTATATGTTTGAATTTTATCATAAGTGCAGCTTCCCCGATAACCATAATGGCCTCCGGTGACATAGATGACTTCATTCAGGACGCAGGCAGTGGCATTTCCAACACCTATTTAGTAATATTAAATTTGTAAAAGGCTTCTAAAAAGAGATAAATAATATTCAGCACAATTTCCATCAACAGGCCATTAATGTGATACATGCACACAGCTAATAAGATAATACACACACAAATGTGTCCATCATCCAACATGTCCAACCTTTATGGTAAATAATATTGTGCAAAGCACCAAAAAAGAGTAAAAAAAAAAGTAAGCCAAAGAAATTTTTTAAAAAAATGAAAAGGACAAAGAACTAACACTAGCTTACATGGACACAACTCCCCACATCTTTCTCTGCTTGCCAACCAGTCTTATGTCCACTACATCGAAGTATGCACCTGTACATTTTCATTCATTCTTCTATAGTTATTTTTTACTTTACTCTTTGCAACCAAGCACTATACATTGCCCATCTTCCACCATTTGTGCATCTTAAAATACCTTATTTTTAGTAAATATTCTATCATGGTGTACTAATTCTTCTTGCTCAATCTCTCTCTCTCTCTCTCTCTCTCTCTCTCTCTCTCTCTCTCTCTCTCTCTCCCCCCCATAGATAGAGATAAATTTTAGTATCAAAGACACATTACTCATTTTTTGACACATTATTTTTCAGATCCATACTCCTTGTCACATTGCATCATCTACTTAATAATTGCTGCAAATAATTTGAGATCTCAATCCACAACAAAGCTTGGTCTGCATACAAAGTACATAAACGTTCATATCTCTAACATATATATCTGCATTTCTTATACCTTTAGCCAAATATTAAATACATTAATACACTAAACAACAAAGGAGAAATTATATATTTTTGTCTTACTTCCTGATTAATGATGAACTATTCCCTAAGCATTTTATTTATTCCCACACATTCTTTATAGTTCCGGTAGTCCTCACTTAATGATCCTAACTGGGACCAGCAACTCCATCACTAAGTGAAGCGATTCAAGTAGAATAGGTGGCTCAATCATTTGGGATCAGTGAAAATGATGTGAAAAACCTCAGAAAATGGATGTCACATCAAGTATGGTAAGACAGACAGAATCCTTTCTAATTTTTATAGTAGAAAATTCTCAAGGGACAAGAATATTTCTAGTAGGGAGAGTAAGAAGCTTTGTCTTTCTATATTTTGTCTGCCTGCCTGTCTGTCTACCTATCCATCTATCTCATGATTCTGGGAAATATGCAATTGTTAGAGAAAAACCTATATGTGTGAACTTTTTAACTGACAAGTTTTCTCTTCCTTCTCAAGGTAAAGTTTGTTTTATCTACCAGAGGAGGATTTTGAAGAGTAATTTAGCCTCCAAAAATTTTATGATAGATTTATAAAGCCAGCTTGTACACTTGGATACGTTCAGTAACATCCATTGGTGAGACCCTGATAAAAAGACAATAAATGTATAATGAAGCAATACAGGCATGTTAAACATATGATTGATTACAAAGAAAAGACAAAAACAAGTGATCAGATTTCTATGCAACAGCAAAACTTCTTACTACTTCTGAAAACTTACCTTCTGACTATGCTTAGGAGCTCCATTCCAAAATATTAATTAATGTTTAAATTGCTTAAATTCGCTTGCACCCAGACACCTTCTGACAAACAAAGTCAATAGGGAGTCAGTGGGAGGTTGCATGTCATGGTCACAAGATGTCTCACTTAATGACTGCAGGTGATTCTTTGCTTAACAATCCCAATTGGGATTGTTGGAACTGCCATTGCAAGGTGGGTGGGGGGCGTTTCACATGATATTCTAACCAGACCTTAATGTTCTATTAGCACCTATCCAAAGCAGCTCAAAACAGAAGTGGGCAACAATCCAGTTTCATTTAAAAAATACATGCAGGACTCAATTAACAAGTTATGTAGCAAGTCAATTACCTTTAATCATGTTTGCAATTGGGAACCATTTCTTTCTTAAAGGATCATAGAATTCCGCTTCTTCAGCCGGAGCCCCTTTTCGATAACCTCCCAGAGTATAGATACAGCCACTTAAGGTTACTGCACAGTGGTAGTATTTTGCATTAAGCATGGGTTGGCCTTCAATCCATTCATCGGTTTCAAAATTGTATATCCACATTAAATCAAGGGCTTCTATATTGTCTGTTCTGTAACCTCCAGTCACGTAAATATTGGGTCCCAGGCTTGTGACTGCATAACTTTCTCGTGTGTGATCTGGCATATCTGTTCCCTGGACCCAAATGTTGTTTACTGAGTCCCATATGTGGACTTCAGACAAAGGGTGCCAGTAATAGCCCCCAATCACATACATAATAGTGGTAGATCTTTTTGTAACTGCTCTTGGCTTGGGGCCCAATACACTACGTATTAGAGATCTGATTTTATTTTCCTTTAACTGGCATGTCTTGTATAAGCTGAGGGCTGACTTCAAGTACATTTCATCTAAATCAATTTCAAGGCACCTCAACAGATCATAAATATGTTCAATCCTGCTGTCCACCTCATAGGCAATCCACTTGGCAATGGGCTCTATCATTGCTTCTTCTTTCCATATATCAAGATTCTTTCTGGAGAGAATGAACTGGAGTTTCTCCTTGCTAATCTCTAGAAATTCTTCCCGTCTCCATACTTCTTCAAATCTGGACAAAATTATCCTTCTGGATTCCTTCTCCAGCTCGGAACAGACATGGAATTCTGCAAAGGCATGCATCCCTAAACAGTTGTCAAGGTCTAAATGTCTGATGAGAAACTGCTCACAGGCTTTTTTGACGGAAGTAAACTGAAGATGATCAGCAGCTTGAAGGAGGCTTTGAACATTTTGTTTTGTTATCTGGATCTCTGATGTGTACGTGTACATCACCAGGGATTCCAGTATTGTAGGACTGAACAAAGAAAGATGAATCTGATCCTTTGACTTTTCTTTCATGTCAGAAGTAAACATGGCTTTGAAATAGTTGCTACAAGCAGCTAGTACAGCTTTATGGCAATGGAACAGCACACCCGGTGCACACTGAAGGGTAATATCAGTGAATAACCCTTCAAGATAGAACGTCCTAAAGGCATCCAAAAACTCTATAGGATGAGAGAGGTCTTTGTATCTATAGGTATATTCCCCCTGCTCATTCAGTGCCATCACTGGAATAAAACATCAGAAACAATACGACAGTGAGGTTCATGTATTCACTCCTACCAGTGTCCATTCAGATATAAGGCTTTCGGATTTCAAGGGTAGAATCCTTTTGCAAATAATTTACCTCTAATGCTTACATAAAGATAACAATTTTAAAAACCCAGCACATCAGATCAAGAAACACATCAGGTAAAAAAAGAAAACACAAAGCCACCAACAGAAATATACTCCCTTACAAAAAAAACATCCAGAAACAATCAGTTTTAAGTTATTAAGCTTCACTGGACTTGGCTCTTCAAAGGTCTCCACTGCCTCAAATTACTCGAACCTTCTTTCTTGCTCTCCCAAGCAGTGCCTCATCTGCTCCAGCATTTGATGCCAGCATCAAATTATCTTCCAACTGGGCTCACATTTTCAGTCACTGGTCTCCATAACTTACTTAAATGAAGCCTGCAGGACTGGAGAAAAGAACAGTCCTCTTATTGGTTGATAGTAAGAATTCTACACAGATCACATACATGTGCATACTGTATTTTACACATACACGACATATGCAGATTTCCCATTGTAAACAATACACATGTACGTGAGCAAGAATCTTTCAAATATCACAAATGTACAAATGAACGGTGATCCTATGTAAATCCCTCTGAACAGAACAATAAGCAGCTATAAATCCCACTTAACAGTAGTTGGACTTAACGTATTAGCAAAAATTGTTTCTAATTTTGTTAAAATACACGATCATCAGATCTAGGCATGCTAAGAATGTAGAATCACTTTAATTTTTAATTCCAGACAAAAAGTCATTTTTATCATTGTCAACCTATTTCATTTGCTCATTTTAATCACCGTTATTCATTCAGTTATTCTTCCACAAACCTCGAAGTAATATATAGCAATATAAGGGGTTCTAATGCTACAATTTAAAAAAAAAACGATAAAAGGGGTTGTAAAATTAACAATTAATCAGTTAGGACTGTGAAAAGAACAAATTAACCCTTCCATCCTATGTATATTTAACTATGGCATTTACCTAGGAGTAGACACTATATACGTCCAGTCCAGTTTAGTTTTAGGTAAACAGGCGCGTACCTCTGTTGTTTCTTAATACATTCTCATCCATCTCAAAACTAAGCCCCGTTGATTTCAATAGCCTTATTTTCAGGAAAGGGGATCGAAAAGCCAGATCATGGGGCACATCGCTAATCCCACGGGGGATTTCTCGCAACACCAAACACAATGCAACCTCTTTGTAGGTAATTAAGAGATTTTGGAGAGCAGAAAAGCAACATTTGGAACTTTTTAACTCTCCCCAAAGCGGCAGGAACAATAAACCGGCAGCATTTTAAGAACAAAACGCCATCCACCCAGTTGTCTGTCATTTCGCGGGATCGGTGTTGCCTTGGGAAAAAGAAAGCCGACGTAGTTAATCCGAAATGATTTTTAAAAATCCCTCTTAAAAAAAAAAGGCTTCTATACGTCTATATAGTCGGTCGGCATAGCGCACCACCAAGTCGCCAGCCAATTCTATGGCTTGCCTCGAGAGCCATCCCAGAAACGAGTTCACCCTAATAAGGCTAACCGTGGTAAATGGCAAATGCTGGCAAATGCTGCAAACCCCGTTCGGAAAAAAACAGTCCAGTCAGCCGCAGGTCCTCGTTTCTTCGGCGACTGTCACTGAGGTCGGACCAAAGCTCGTTAGGTTTTTTTTTCCGAAGCGTGGTCGTTCGGCCACCATGCATTTGGTAAAGGCTCACCCACCTGCTCTGCAAATGAGGGTGACAGGCAGAGACAGAGCTGGGCTCGAACAAGGAAAGGAGCAGCTTTCCTAAATCTGAGCTAGAAGGGGAGAGGGGGAGGAGGGGGAGGACCTTGGCACTCAAAGGCAAATTGCCCGAAGTCAAACCCCTCCCCCCACGGGGCTAAGGTCGGTCGTGGGGCATCGTGGGAGCGCCTTTCTAGCCGCTTGTCAATTCCCCCCTCCTCAGCGCGTGGAAATGAAAGTGGGGGGGAGGCTATTAAACGGGGCACCAAAGGAGGCCAGGAAGCGCAAAGCAGTTTATTTTGCTTTCCCCCCCCCCCGCCCCCTCCATTCCCTCCCAACCCGGTCCGCCAAATCGAGGCGCGCTTTGGAACAAAAGGGAGGGGAAATTATCCGAGCGGGGCTTTTGGAACAGGTTGCAAACTTTGAGGGAAGCGGCTTTGGCCGCGGACTGGCGCGCGCGCGCCTGCAAGGCTGGCGCTTTTATATTCCTATTCAGAGAAGTGAAGGGTGGTGGAAAGAAGCGCAGGATGAAGCCGCTAGGAAGCCCCTCCGCGAGTCTTGACTATCTTTAGAAAAAAATTCAGCTTCTCTTCGCTGCTGTAGGCTATAGAAGGAACAGATGGAGAGGCCAGTTCCTATTTTGGTGCCTCAGCTGACTCGCCTCCTCCTCCTCCTCCGGCCAGGCCCCGTCTGCTCCTAACAAGGCCATCCTCAGCTTTCTGCCGTTCAGCTCCCCTCCCTCTCATCCCCAGAGAAAGCTTTGCCTGCTGCTTCTGGGCCTCAGGGGTGGGGGAAAGGCAAGGATTGCAGTAAAAGCGTCTGTTGGGCTGCTAATGGTGGCCGTTTTGCTGGCAGGGTCTGAAGTGAAAACAATAGCTTTGCTTATCCAGAGCTCAGCAGGGTTTGTGTGTGTGTGTGGGGGGGGGCACTCATGGGATATCTCCATGAGAGAATCTCCATTGACAACTCATGGGGTGTAAAATTGCTCCATCTCCTCTCCCTGCCCAGCCATTCCCAGAGATGCTGCCCAAGCTGTGATAGCAACTTGGCTGGTTATAATAAAGTCTTTCTCAATAGTTCTTTGGTCAGTTTGGGTAGGCAGTGGTTAAGTAAGGCATCAGGCTAGAAACTAGGAGAGTGTGAGGTCTAGTCTTGCCTTCAGCACAAAACCGGCTGCATGACCTGAGATCTCAGTTTTAGAGAGGAGGTAATGGGGAACCACTTCTGAAAAATATTGCCAGGAAAACTGCAGGGAACGGTTCCACCACAAAACCGTGGTAGACTAAAGCACGTGGGACTAAAGCGCGGTGACAAAACCGCACCGTCAAAACCGCACGACAACAGCGCACCGACAACAGTGCGCCGACAACAGTGCGCCGACAGAAGCGCGCTGTAACAAAAACCTCAAAATAACCCTAAACCTAACCCTAAAACTAACCCTAAACCTACCCTAAACCTACCCTAACCCTAACCCTAAACCTAACCCTAAACCTTACCTTAAGTTAAATCGCGCTTCTGTCGGCGCACTGTTGTCGGCGCACTGTTGTGGGCGCGCTTTTGACATCGCGGTTTTAGCACCGTGGTGTTGTCGGTGCGCTTTAGTCTACCGCGGTTATGTCGTGCCACGGCAGGGAACAGTTAGCCCTCGACTTACAACAGTTTGTTTAGTGGTCATTTGAAGTTAATGCACTGAAAAAAGTGACCGATGACCATTTTTCACACCTATGACTGTTGTAGCCTCCCCATGGTCGCATGATTTATATTCAGATGCTTGACAACTGACATTTATCCCCAGTGTCCCGGAGTGATGGGATCCCCTTCTGCAACCTTCTGACAAGCAATAGGGAAATCAAATTCACTTAACAGCCGTATTACTAATTTAACAACTGCAGTGATTCCCTTAACAAACATAGCAAGTAAAATCGTAAAACGGGGCAAAACTCAGTTAACAAATTTCTCACTTAACAAAATATATTTTGGGCTCAATTGTGGTTGTAAGTTGAGGACTACCTGTAGTCCAGGCAATGGCCTGGATCAAGACTGACTTGAAGCCATCATCACACACACACACACACACAAACACACACACGGGGTTGCTTCTTTCCATGATACATAGAGTCAACCAAGAATGAAGGACATGATTCATTATTTTTCTAGTTTTCCAATCCCAGGAAGACTAGGCCCACACATCATAGATGAATATATAACCCTGATGAAATGTAAAAAAAAAAAGATGGGAGAATATAGTTCACAAAATTGAGTATATTGATGAAAAGTCCTGTTTCTTGCCATTGTTTTTGGAAAAGAATTGAAAAATTTTACAAGCAATATACAGTGTTGTAAGGACATTTTCTACAGAATCCACATTTTTTTGCTTTTTAATTATAATAAAAAGGAAGTAATAAAGAACAAAAGCAAAACATATACTTTTTTTTCTCTTTGTATCTTCCCCATTATCATCAGAATCTCTAACTCTTGAAAAATTCCAAATACTGGAAATACTGCAAAGAACGTTAAGAGTTATATTTGGGAGGGAGGGTGGGTCTTGTCGTTGCTACGACACGACATGCAATCTTGGGGCTCCAGGATTGCTGTCGATATCTCTGTTGCTGGATGATCCTTTTGGATCTAAACCATTCTGAAGGAACGGTGATAGAGAAGGGCAGGTCCTGCTAATCTCAGGGGCATCACAAAGCCTCTGATTGATCCAGGAAAAAGCTTTTTGCCTGCTACAAGAGAAGCAGCCATGGCTGCAGAAGGTTGGGACATACCCCTGAAACGGAAGCAGAATAGGACAGACAGTGTGTTGAAATGGTGAGAAAAATCTTTATTATTAGAGAAGAGAAAACCCCAAAGACTTAGAGTTAAAATAAAATTGAAGACAGAAGAAAGGAAGTGGCAAATTAACCCTGGTTTAAAACTATCGTGTTATCATTTCCAGTTTAATTTTGTTTGTTTTCTATGGATGGACTTTTTACAAATGCCTCTTACTTTTAAACTGGACTTGTCTTTTTTTCCCCCTTCTTCTTCTATATTTTCCCCATTTTTTGTATTCGTGGATTAAAAGCCTCTTTCCTCGCAAGGCTCAGCCGGATCATAAGCTTTAAACAATTTTTTTCTTCTGTTCCAGAGTTCGGAGCTTAGAAAGAGAGGCAAAAACAGAGGGAAAAGATGTAACACTGCCATCTAGAGGCTAAATTTGGCAGAAACAATTAGAGTAATTTCGGCAAAAGCA